CCATGGACAGCTCACTTATCTAAGCACCTCATGATAAATATTTTGAAGCACCCGGAATCACTACCCTGTCACGAAATTACTGCAGGTCCTGCACCATCTGTGCTAAATGCAATCCAGGGAAAATATTCAAAGCTGCACCAAACCATTTGGCCAAACCACAGTACCCTTTCCAGAGGATCCAAATTGACCATATCCAAATGCCAAAGAGTGGCCGGTATGAATACGCACTGGTCATAGTGAATATGTTTTCAGGATGGCCAGAAGCTTTCCCGGTCGCTAATCTCACCGCGAAGACCATGGCAAAGCGTCTACTCACCGAAATCATCTGCAGATATGGAGTCCCTGAAGTAATTGGAAGCGACCAAGGTACCTCCTTCACTGCGTTGCTAACCAAGGAGATCTGGGCAGCACTGGGAGTGACCCTTGCATTCCACACACCCTATCACCCGCAGAGTAGTGGTAAGGTAGAACGCATGAATGGCACTCTGAAAGCCAGAATGCTTAAAATGTCCCAAGAAACTAACCTACCCTGGCCGGAGAGTCTTCCCATAGCATTGTTCAGTGTAAGGTACACCCCAATGGGGAAGTTTAACCTGTCCCCCTATGAAATCTTGTTTGGAACAGCACCCAGGTTAGGCTGTTATTTCCCTCAGCAACTTTAAATTCAGTCAGATGCAATGGTAGATTATATAACTGCACTCTCTCATGCCTTTACCAAAATCCATGCGCAAGTGTTTTCTTCTATTCCAGATCCCGAGACAGATACGGGCACACATAAGTTACTTCCTGGTGACTGGGTCATGGTCAAGAAGTTCCTAAGAAAAAACACTCTTGAGCCAAGGTTCAATGGTCCATTCCAGGTCCTATTGACTACATCTATCTCTGTAAAGTTGGCTGGGAAGAATACCTGGATACACGCCTCACAATGCAAGAAAGTCCCTGATCCAGAGGAAGCAGATCCTGTCAAATCATGAGTTTACTATGCCTATGTCTACTGCTAGGTCTCTTAAAGGCCCAACAAGTTGCTATTACCAAAGATAATCATGTCTATACGTTTTTGTATAATTCTTCAAACACACGCTTAGCTACTTATACCTTTGATTACTGTGATATTGTCTCTTGTACTTTTCCGCAGTCACAACACTCAGCAATATACAAAGACATACCAAACAAAAAGGACCCATATATTTGTGTGACGGGTGGGCATTGGGGACATTACTGTAGCACCTGGAAAGCAGCGGGTTGGAATACAAGTCGACCATGGGGCTACAGACCACAAATTGCCTTAGATAGAATTGACAGCAATGGGAAACCCTTGTTATACAGAATGACCTTATGCAAGCCAACAGGTTCTACCCCAATGAAGCTCACCTTAAAGATATAATGTATTGGAAAGGGGGTGGCTCACATAATAAGTTAGGAACTTTCTATTTACAAGACATGCTTACGTCACCTGACTGGGTAGGCTGCACACACATGACCATTAATCCTCTCAAACCACACATTAAAACCCTCAAAGACATGGTGGCTATTGCCAATCCCACATTTGAAGACACTGGCTGTGGCTGTGGAGACCGGGTTTTCAGATACTAATCTATGGCTTGAGTGGATGAGATATAATGCTAATTCACACAACAAGACCAACTGTTATGTTTGTGGTGGGGCTCGACCCCATCTGGGTACAGTGCCTTTAAATTTGCCTCCAGAATTTGAGATGTGTTTCTTAAGCCTTTATCCACAGTCAGCAGTGAATTCATCTGTGTGTGAATCGTAGAAAAAGGTTTACCCAATAACTCAAGGGAGTACCAGGTCACCTGATGGCATCACAGTGTACACAGGTAACTACACTTGCTACACAATACATGGAACTACAGGTAAATTTGTAGGTAAATTCCCTTCTGGCTACTGTGCCACTTATCGAAAACCTCCCATTGCCTTATTAGTGAATCAAGTTAAATCCGTGGGAGATATTTATTGGCTATGTGGTGACAAACAGCTCAGATCAAAGATGACTGGCCTGTGGTGGGGAGAGTGTGCTCTGACTAAAGTTATCATGCCCACACACCTATTTTCTGATAACCACCAACGCCCATACAATTCACCACACACATATCTTAGAGTAAAAAGTGAAACCCCCATTCGAGGTAGTTTTGATCCACATGTATACATCGATGGCATTGGAGTACCAAGGGGGGTACCAAATGAGTTCAAGGCCAGAGATGAAGTGGCGGCAGGATTCGAATCCTTGATCCCACTCATCACCGCCAATAAGAATGTTAACTGGATCAATTTTATCTACTATAACCAGCAACGATTTATCAATTATACCAGAGATGCCCTCCAGGGCTTAGCAGAACAATTACAGACTACCTCCAAAATGACATTCCAGAATCGAATGGCCTTAGATATGATCCTAGCAGAAAAGGGGGGTGTGTGTAAAATACTCCCTGATACTATGACATGCTGTACCTTCATCCCAGACAATACAGGCCCTAACGGTAAGGTAACCATGGCCATAGAGAAATTAGAAAGTCTTTCTGACGAGTTAAAGAGAAATTCGGGAGTCCCCAATTCATGGGACAGATGGTTTGGATGGATGAGTGGATGGCAGAAAACCCTCTTTCAAGTAGGTATGGCAGTTCTTACTTTGGTAATTCTCTTCCTCTTCCTGACTTGCTGTGTAATACCCTGTGTGCAGAAATATTTGCAGAAGACTGTAAGTCAGACTATTGACCGCACTACACCTACATTCCTACATCAAGATGCTGATGACGTGGACTGTGACACCCCTCACACACCTCTTTAGTCCCACCATCTCAAACAGACAACTACTTCCATGTAGGGACAGCATAGGGATAGCGTCTGTCTCTACGGGCAGAAGTCTAATGCAGGAGATGTAGTGGGTTAGCCGCTGCGGGATACCTGCGCAGTGAAGTGTTCGAGGCCTGTTCAGACAGATGAGCTGCAGCCAATTAGGGACATCATTAGGGTTAGTTAGTTAGTAGTTGTCTGTCCTTTCCTCTTTTTCTTCGTAAATAGTCATTTTAAGGGGGGACTGTTGTGGACAAAAATATTAACTCAATTCATGTTAGTAAAATGCCTATTTACTCAGCATAACTACAATCAGCATTATTCAACTTTCTATGTGATTTACCTAAAATGGCCACTAGGGAGTTTCCTTCTTAACATCGACTAACACCCTTATTAACAAGATGGCGATGGAATCTGGGGGAGACCACCAAGATACCAGTGACATCACACCCGGTAGGAAGAGCACTAAACAAACCACTTAACACCTAACCAATTATTGATGTATTATTTCATGTTATCTCTGACAATGCATATGATGTAATTTTGCTTTATAAGGGACAAGCCGTCCCCTCAGAATAAACATTCCTCAAGTTTTTCATTAACTCGAAACTTGTGTCTGGTGTGAATTACTTTAGGAGCGTGCACGCATTACTTCTTTAACTTGGCCGGGGGCAGATACGTAAAATAATCAATTTATTGATTGATTTCCACATCAGTATGTCAGTGTGTGTGTCAGTATGTCCATGTGTGTGTCTGTTTGTGTGTCTGTGTGTATGTCTGTGTGTGTGCATGTGTTTAGGTACCTGCACCTCTCCGATCACGAGAGAGGTGTTTTTACTCTATAAACAAAAACAAAAAGGTAGATGCTAAAAGTCTCAGTGCAAACAGAACCCTGAGGCCATATGTATCTCCTGGAAATAAAAATAATACTTGTAGAAAATGTTTATCTAATTCTGGAAAAAATAAATAAATAAATCTGGCCAGACCAATCAGTCTAATAAGAAGTGAATATCTATGTCAAGGGAAGCTCTAAGATGTTGTAAGCCCACTTTGTGTGGGATAGAGCTATATAAACTCTGAACATCCAGGCTACACAGGATGGCATCGCCAGACAGCTGTATTTCTTCCATGGTATTCAGTGTGTGCTTTGTATCCCTTAGGTATGAAGGGAGTTTGACCACTTTTGGGAGTTTTGACTTCCTCAGAATCTGATCCACATATACACTGGCATTATGGGTCAAATTACCTCTACCTGAGACAATTGGTCTGCCACTTAGTACCCGTTGTTGTTTGTGTACTTTTGGAAGGGAATAGAAAGTGGCGGTCACAGGGTTCTTAACGTACATAAAGTTATATTAATCCTTGGAGATTAAGGATAGTGAGAGGGCTACATCCAGGGTATTTTTTAGTTCAGCTAGATATTTTTTTGTAGGATCGCATAGGTATCTCTATCTTCGATTAGTCTATGTACCATCGAGACATAGTCTGTCTTATTTAAGATGACTGTGTTCCCGCCCTTGTCAGATGGTTTAAGAATAATCTCGTCCATATCTTTGAGATGTTTAAGAGATATTTTTTCTTGTGGAGTGATATTACTGCCTGGTTGAATGATAAGGTCCTTTTGATTTATTTTGTCGATTTCACTGCATGTTAGCTCGACAAATTGGTCAATATATTTAAATTCAGCGAGACGCGGAGTAAACAGACTTTTTTTTCCGGAGTTGTGTAAAGGGAGGTTGTGGATTTTCAGATATATCGCTGTGTTGTGTCCCTTTAATTAAAGAGCTGAGTATTAAGTGAGACATAGTCTACAACAGTCACAATGCTAATAACCTGTGATCAATGGCCAGTTATTAGCACCCAGGGTGGCTGAGCTCTGCCATGTTTTATTGATCCTATGTAAATCCTGCTCTCCATGGCTGCCCAGTAACAGGACTCAATACATTAATTAACACACTGCCTGGGAACCCTGCACCACAGGCATTCTTCATTCAGTAAGGTTATTACTGTTTATTTGATGCCCCATGACATAGTGAAGTAATAGGAATACATGGATGAACAAGCAACCCTTGCTGGCATCCATTACTCCATTACCAGATTCGGGTTTTTTTTGTGTTTTTGTTTTGTCTGTACAGCAAATGTACATAAAGTTGATTGAATTGAGGCGCGGTGACGTCACACGAGGCGCCGTCGGCTTCCCATTGGTCGCCGGTTGCACTACGTTTAAAGTCGCCGAGTTAGTTCACGCGGAGTGTCTGCTTCCGGCGTCAGCACGCTCTGTCCCTGCACGCGCCGGTACCTGCTTTCTACGCACGCGGCAATTTGTAACCTCCGCAGCTCTTCGTGAGGAGAACGGCCACCGAGCCCGTCACAGCCGGAGCCCATCACATCACAGCGCCGACCGACACCACCACCTCTGCACCACCACTGCCGAGCCTAGCCCGCTGTACGCCGCACCATGCCGAAAAATAAAGGTGAGGGATCGGAGCCCTGCGGCGGGAGGGAGGGATAGCACGGGGACCGGGCACCGTGTGAGAGAGAGAGAGAGAGAGAGAGAGAGAGAGAGAGAGAGAGAGAGGCAGGCCGCAGGGAGAGCCTCACATAGAGTGACTGACTATACACACACACTTACTGTTTACTGACTCATACTAGGCCTCCAGGAGCCATATTACCATATTACTACTAATACTGCATTACTAATACTCTATTACTACCAATACTGCATTACTAATACTCTATTACTACCAATACTGCATTACTAATACTCTATTACTACCAATACTGCATTACTAATACTCTATTACTACCAATACTGCATTACTAATACTCTATTACTACCTGTGTGTGTGTGTGTGTATCATTTCATATGGTTTAGTGAAGCAAGTTAAGACACAGGATTGGCTGGTAGGAAATAAATACTGTGTAATATAGATTAGGTTCTGGTGAATTGCCTCAGAGGCCAGGCCCTGCTGGTCACTTGATATTTTAACCCTATTTGTTGTTTTTGATGTAGGGGAAACTTCAACATTAGAGCAAATCTCGATTTTTAAACTCAACATATGCTCATGCACTACGATAACTTGCAAATGGGTTTTATGTGATTTTGTAAACAAAATCTTTCAAATCTACACAATTTTTCACAGTACTTTTACAGGATAAAGGCACTGTTTTCCAGATACTGCAATCTACACAGCATGTTTAAATTTTTTTTTTTATTTTTTTTTTAAAGTGTCAGTCAAATAGTGGCTTTTTGTCATGAGTCCTGCTCTGATTGTAGTTCCTAGCCAACTGCATTTCTGTTTACTTCATTGCATGAACTCTGCTGGTAGTTAATTGTCACTCCATTTGTAAAAACAAATTTTTAACTAGTCTATAAACCGTTAAGTGGTCCAGTATTGGACTGCGTACTGATAGATCAGCAGAAATAGAACTAGTTGTGTATTGAGTTTTTGTTTAGTGTGTGTGTGTATATATATATATATATATATATATATATATATACACACACACACACACACACACACACACACACACACACACACACACTACCAGTAGAGAGCACTCAGGAGTCTTTCAAGGCAAATTTCATCCGTTGCTTTATTGAGCAATTACAAATTCACACAACGTTCCAGTCGGACTGGAACGTTGTGTGAATTTGTAATTGCTCAATAAAGCAACAGATGAAATTTGCCTTGAAAGACTCCTGAGTGCTCTCTACTGGTATTGTATACAATTTGGTTGGAGACATCACCTGATCATCAAAAGACCGGGATCATTGAATGCTGGGACGTGTGTGTGTGTACACATATATATGTATGTGTGTATATTTTTATTTTTTTTTATTTTTTTTACAATTAACAACTTGTCTGTTTTTTTTTGTTTTTTTTAACAAATTCAGAACCGTTTTAACTTTAGTTTACATTAACCCTGGCTGTTCTGCTATAACCAGAGTATATCATGAAAGCTAATTTAATTAGATTGTTGCCCACTAAGTCTCCTTTTACACAAAAAGATTCTACCCTGCCATTGCTTATACAGTGGGGCCTCTGTTTACAAATTTAATGCGTTCTCCGGGACGTTTTGTATTACGAAAAATTCGTAAACCGAAACATGGTTTCCCATAGGAATGCATTGAAAACCAATTAATGTGTTCCGGAGGGGTGAGAGTTCTTAAAGTGTTTTATCTGTTCAAAACTCTATTTATAAAGTGCACTTTAAAGGCATAAATACTATACGGGGGACATGATTAATCAAGCAATAATATTTCAAACATACAACTTTGTTTTAAAACATCACACATAAACCTTTAAAACATGGCAGACTGTTGGTAATATGGTACAGTACACTTCAACTGTACATAAATCACACGTCAACAGGGCAAACATGGAAAACTTCAACACTTTTTGGAAGATGAGGGCAATTGGGCAGCACTAACACAGGCAGGTTCTTCTTCATGTCTAGACTGTTTTTGTAGGAACTTTTCTGTTGTCTGCTGCCTTTTAAGCATCCCTCGGAAAGGGGACGTGATGTCTGTCAAAACTGCTCATAAGTCTCTGAGCTAGAGCCTTATCTGGGTGGTGCTGCTGTACAAATGTCTGTAGGTTTACCCACACTTGGTATGCCTCCTTGAGTTTCGTGGAAGAGAGCTGTTCCTCACTCATTTCCTCCTCAAATGCGATTTGCTCCTTCTGCAACTCCACCAGCTCCTCTGTGGTTGGGTCACAGTCGTGTTCCTCCACCAGCTCATAGACATCCTCCTCAGTCACCTCCAGGCCCATGGTCCTCCCCAAGGAAACAATTTCCTCCAACACTGTTGACTCTGGTGTAGGAGCACTGGAGGCAGGTTTCACAACAGTCTGGCCACAGGTTGCGCCAAGCAGAATTTAGGTTTGTCTGGCTGGCCCAGGCAATGGCGATCTGCAGACAGCTCAAAATGTCAAAATGCTTTCTCCAAAATTCATGGAGGGTGAGGCTTGATCGATCTGTCATCTCAAAGCATCACTGGAAAAGCTCCCTTGTGTAGAGTCTTTTTAAAATTGGAGATGACCTGCTGGTCCATTGGCTGGAGTAGTGGAGTGGTGTTAGGCGGAAGGAATATGACCTTGATGAAATTAAAGTCCTCCAGTAAGTCTTCCTCGAGGCCTGGAGGATGGGCAGGAGCATTGTCCATGAGCAGCATGGTCTTGAGTGGCAGGTTATTGTCCACAAGGTACTTCTTCACAGCAGGACCAAAAACCACATTGACCCACTTGACAAACAAGAGGCGTGTGACCCAAGCCTTTGGGTTAGACTGCCACAAAATGCTCAATTTCTCCTTGTTAACTTTGTTATTCAAAGGCCCATGGGTTCTCTGAATGGTAGACAAGCAGGGGCTTGATCTTAAGGTCCCCGTTGGCGCAGAACAGGAGGATGAGACAGTCCTTCATCGGCTTGTGGCCAGGCAATGAGGTCCCCTCTTCTGTGATGAAGGTATGCTTTGGCATCTTCTCCCAGAAGAGTCCAGTCTCGTCGCAGTTGAAGACCAGCTGAGGAAGGTAGCCCTCTGAAACCATGACCTCCAGGAACTTCATAGCAAATTCCTCAGCTGCAACAACATCGGAAATTGCAGCCTCTCCATGCCTGACCACACTGTGGATGCCAGATCTGGTCTTGAACCTTTCGAACCACCCCCTGCTGGCCTTGAAGCCTTCTGCATCTGCTGATGTTCCTGGCTGTTGTTTGAGGAGGTCAGCATTGCAAGGCCTTGGCTTTTTCGCAGATGATCGCCTTCCTTGGTCACGGAGTCCCCTGCACGCTGCTTCTGTTCAATACAGATCAGGAGCAACTTCTCGACCTCCTCCAGAACCTGGTGACTCCCTTGGCTGCATCTCTCCCAGTTATCTTCTTTCATCTTTAGGATTGTACCGCTTGTGGATGCACTCCTTCCATACTCTTTGGCGAGGTCAGTCAATCGCATTCCTCCTTCCTGATGATTTCTTTTTTGTCAAGCAGAATAATCATCTTCCTCTTCCCAGCTTCCGCTGCTTTCTTGGGTGCCATGACACCACCGTCACGAAGTATGCAAAAAAAGTTTTACACCCACATGAGCTGGCATGGAAATCACCCCACAATGCAGAACACACAGTAAAAGGCATGCAAACAACTCGGCTCCCTGCTTTTCCACCTCTTGAGATGCACCAAAAAGGCTCCGAAACTTGCTGCAAATGGCTCCAAAACCTCTACAACACCTCCACACTCACATGCTATCCAGACTCCAGTATGCAGGGGGCGCAGCTATAAACCAGGACACTTGTTTCGTATTGCGAAAAAAAAATGTTTTTACCAAAAAAAAAATGATACAAATGGAACTTGTGCTGGGAAGCAGATATAATTATGTATATTACAACCAAAGAAAGTTACCTGCGCTCTTTCCACATCCCTATGTATTTTTTTAAAAATGGAGGGGTTTTTAAGTTTCCTCCAATGGCCATGAGGGTATACCCACCTGCCATGTCAATGCAGACCTCTTAGGTGGGTCCTAAATCTAACTATTCACCTTGCTTCCTTGAGCTTGTGGCAAAGATTTCTCTGAGACAGGGGTATCTTTTTTTTTTTTTTTTAATATACATCCCTACATGCTTATTAACCCTTAATAGGAACACACTGGATGGGAAGCAGCATTGTAACCTAGCTGTGTGATACAAAAGTGAATACAAACCTAAAGAAACCAGTCCAGTCTCCCTTTACTCCTGGGCGGCAGCAACGACCATAGTACACAGCCCAAATACATATAGTAAAAACCAAAGGAAAAAAAGTTACCTGCGCTCTTTCCACATCCCTGTGTATTTTTAAACAAATGGAGGTTTTTAGTTACCTCAGATGGCCCTGAGAGGGTATGACTACCTGCCACGTTAAGGCAGGCATCATTTTAGATGGGTCCTATGGAGTAGACTAATACAGTACACATCCGATTGGTCCTCTTATTGATATATAAACTCGATCCACATAGAGGTATGGCTAGCCCTTGACTAAGGTGCAGTTATATGCACCGAAACGCGCGTCGGGTCTGGTTTTTTTTAACTCACTTTATGGAACACTCATGCACGCAAAGGGTGTCTAGCGCTACTTTTTGTTCTTAGACTTTTGGTTTTGTGGGGGTAGTTTGGAGGCAATGACTTGGAGCATCAGCTTAGGACACCCATGAAAGTGGTATTTTAGGAGAATTGGGGACTTGTATTTAGGGCATCTCCATATTTGCTGATAATTGTGTTTCACATAGACATCAGCCCCTCATTCTCACCTCTCATTTATATATGAGGCTGCTGCTACTTAGCTGTATCGAAGGGGATAAGAATACTTATACCAAAACGTTGCTTCATTTAATGAGTGATTAACTCTTATGTTTTGAAGCTTGTATATTTTTCATGATTATTCTTCTGATCACACCTCACTTTACTCAGGTCTCTAGCACTGTTGCCATATGGCCCTTTGCTTCCAAGGTTTTGTGTATTACCCAGATCACTATTTAGTGACCATTCCCTTATAACAATCCTGTTTATCTGGACTTAGCAGCCATTACTAGTGTTGATTTTAAGCCCCTATTGAGTATGGCTGCATTTGTTGGCCTCTAAACAAGGATTTTGTGGTTGTAATATACGGAACAATATCTGCTTTCCAGCATAAGTTCCATTTGTATCATTTTTAGGGTGAACAAATGATACTGAGGGCACTACTAAATATGTGAAGCTTTTAATGGGTTGTGGGGGGAAAAACCTCGAAATAACTTATTTATGCATAAATTAACGAACTGCTATTTTGCTTTTAGGTAAGGGAGGTAAAAACAGAAGGCGTGGTAAGAACGAAAACGAGTCTGAAAAGAGAGAACTAGTATTTAAAGAAGATGGACAAGGTATGTCTGGCTTTTTTTTTTTTTTTTTTTGAGTTGCTAAGGGCTCTACAGATGTAGACATCTGAGCTGATAAAACAGACATTGTGTTTCACATTTAGAGGAACTTTATATTACTAGTGCCACCATACGAATGCATGAACATACAGCTTGTTACTTTTTTTTTTTTTGGATCAAGTTAGATCTATTATGCAATGTCCTGGTCAGCTGGTGAACACAATCTTATGAAACACTTAAGTACATGTGCTAAACACTGCATTCCTCCAATCAAATGATTTAAAATAAAAATCTCAAGTTTTATATTGCAAGTATAGAACTAAACGACAACTGCACCAAGACAAATTCATTGTATGACAATAGTGTTATTTGAAAGGCCAAATCTGATCTCTATTTAGAAAGAGCGATCAAGCCACTTGTTATATTTGCAATAGTTTAATTTGTAACTTGTGTATAACTATTTGGATCTTTAAAGGGAATTTATTTTTAATGTTTATTTTTGTCTTCTCAGAATATGCACAAGTGATCAAGATGTTGGGAAATGGTAGGCTGGAAGCCATGTGCTTTGATGGAGTCAAGAGGTTATGTCACATTAGAGGGAAACTCCGAAAAAAGGTAAGTTCTTGTGGGTAATTGGACTTTTCAAATGGTAGATATTCCCTTTTGTTTTAACAATTAAAAAAAAAAAAAAAATGGTTTTCAACAAATGCTAGAACATAACTTGAGGCAGTTAGTCTTGTATATGAATGAGGCGGTGAGGCTCATCTTCCTGTCCGCATGCACCTCCCATGCCTTCCCGTAAGATATAGGACTCCATTTAAGGTCCTGATGCTTGCTTACAAATCTCTGCACTATGCTGCTCTGACCTATTTATCCTCACTAATACACAAATGTGTCCAGTGTAGGACCCTATGCTCTGCCTAAGACCTATGTCTAACCCCTGTTCATTCTCCTACCTCTGATACTCACCTTAAAGACTTCTCTAGTGCTGCATCATTCCTAAGGAAGGCTCTTCCCCTCTGTTAGACTTTCACCCAGTCTCCGCTTCATCAAAAAATCTTTGAAAACTTCTAGGAGAGCAGATCAATCTGCAACAAAACACCTAGCCCTCAGTGGATACTTTCCTAGCAACATACTTTTCTACCCCTACCCTTACTTTTTGTGTCATTTTACCCCACTCCCTCTAGCATGTAACCTCATTGAGCAGGGCACTCAATCCCTCTGTTCCTGTGTCCAACTTGTCTGGTTACAAATACGTGTCCGTCCACCCGCTGTACAGTTATGTGGAATTTGTTGGAGCTTTATAAATATTAATAATGTACACTGTATTCTTATGCCATTTAAGTTTTTCCCTTTTGTAAAAGAAGAAAAAAATATTCTGCTCTCTTCAAAAGAGTTCACCATTCAGTGGGTGCTACTGAATTTCTTAAGTTGCATTGACATGCATTATAGTATACAATAACTTTGTAGTGCAGACATAGGCAACTTTCAGCACTCTAGAGACTACACCTCCCATGATGCTTTGCAAGCATCATGGGGGATATAGTCCACATCTGGAGTGCCGAAGGCCGCCTATCCCTGATGTAGTGTGTGGGCATTGCACACTTGATTATGCTAACATCTGTGCACTCTTAGTAGTTTGTAACTGCATGGGCACACCTTAAGGCTGACTTTAACTAGTATTTAATCAGTTTCACCTTAACTCATACTAAGTGAATTTAAACCAGGAGATGATGCATATCAAGGACTGGCAATGATAAAACAAACCTCTCATTTACAAACCTTTTGTTATTCATTGTTTGTAATGTAAATATTTTTGTTTTGTTAATGGATTCTTCCTTTGTCTCAGTATGTGATACCTCCTATAAGATCTTTGTTGTCCATCACAGTGTTTGCTGTTTTGTTCTTGGCTTGTCTGGGTGTGTGGTTTATTCTATTTTTTTTTTTTTTTTTTAAATCTCCATTTTGAAGTCACCATGTTGCCACTGAATCTGTTAGCCTTCCATACACTAATAAAGACTCTGTTCATAAAAGGATAACCTGCTAAATGTACCTATTTAAAAAGTACAGATAAACCCCCAGAGTCTGGGGTAAGTTTGCCTACAAATGTTAGTTTTGTTATCCATAACCTTTCCAATTTGACGTAGGGTGCCATGAAGGATTAGTTGCACACAGTCTAGCAATTACATAGGACTCCTGCAGCATTCTAAATTCATCAAGACATTTTCACACTGATATGCCTTCTTACTACTCTCAAACAATATTTGAGCATTAATAGCATATACCTTCACAATTATTTCAATACACAAGGAGTGCATTCCACAATGGGCTGTGCTGTGGGTTTTCAAATGGGAGAAGAGTTGAACAATCTTTGGTGGCAATCCAAACACAAAGGGGCAAAGTCTTACTAACCTCATACTAAAGTCTTTGAATCTTTTAGTTATCAGATTAATTTGGTTTCCATACCCAGCATCCGATAGGAAGGAACTTACCCCATTTGTTTATATTATGCTTGTGGGATTTGCAAATTTTAGTCCGTTTCTTGGAGACCTTATGGGAATGTAGGCACCCAGATGTCTCAAGCTGTACGTATTATTTGCCCACGCTAGACCTATCAATCACATCCTATCCAGAAGCCGCATGACGTCCCACAACACATATAGACCATACTTATTGTACTTGACAATTAAACACCTAGGCAATGCCTGATCTGCTGTAAGACACAGACTAAACTCGGCCTGAAGTTCAGGTGGTACATTTAATGGAAATGTAGGAAGGCCTGTTACTGGGACTCACTACCACTGAAAGAGACATTTTATGTTGCCCATGGAGTTTTGTACTGTCGTATTAAAAAAATGCTTAAATATTTTTATTTTTAGGTCTGGATCAACACATCTGACATTATATTGGTGGGCCTCCGAGATTATCAAGTATGTAACTTTTTTTGTTTGTTTTTTTGGCAGCTGTCTTAAGTTAAATAGAACGTAAACAACTTTAACTTTAAATTGAAACAGGATGGAAGTTGTCCCCCTCTTAAACTGGTGTTAAGGGGATATGTTGTCCAACACATGGCAGTAGCTCCATTGAATAGTGGCCATCTAAAACTGTCAACTGTCTGTCATCTTATAATATTGTACAAAAAATACAAATGTGTAAATTTTAAAGTGTGTGTGTATATGTATATATGTGTGTGTGTGTGTGTGTGTGTATAATATATATATATATATATATATATATATATATATATATATATATATATATATATATATATATATATATTTTTTTTTTTCTTGACACCTATTTTGTTCTTTTCTAGGATAACAAAGCAGATGTAATTCTAAAATACAATGCAGACGAAGCCAGGAGTCTTAAAGCATACGGAGAACTTCCAGAGCACGGTAAAAGGAGCAAAACTGTTGATGGTTTTATCTTCAGTTGGGGAATATGCTGGAATTTAATGTAAATTTTCTGTCCCTTTTAGCTAAAATCAATGAAACTGATACATTTGGCCCTGGAGATGATGATGAGATCCAGTTTGATGACATTGGTGATGATGATGAAGATATTGATGACGTAAGTGTCTATTTAGGCCACATTCCCTGTGAGCTTAGTTGTGTGCTCCATTTGTATCAGAATAACGTTGTGCTTAACCCCTTAAGGACACAGCTTCAGAAGCTTGACTTACACTTAATGACACAAGCAATTTTAGCATTTTCTTGCTGTTTGCGTTCAACTGCAATTTGCATCGCTCTCATTTATTGCACCGACACATATTATATACTGTTTTTTTAAAGGACAGAAAGGGCTTTAATTTGATATAACACATATACATATATATATTATTTTTATTATAAAAAAAATACAGAAAAATGCAAAAAAAATGAAAAATATTGTTTGTTTGTTTTTACAGTTTTTGCAATAATAATGTGTGCATAATTAGTGCAGGTTAAGGAAAGTAAAAAAATTTTTATTTGTTCTGATTTACAGAATATATAATGTGTCTGGGATTTTCAATATTTTTTTGGTAGTTACAGGTCACAAAGCACAAGGAGTAAAATAGACTTTTAATGTGGAGCGATTTTAGAATTTGGTATGTTTGTCTTGTAAGCTTAATAGCCATAAAAGAAAACAAAATTACCACACAAAAGTATATATTTATATAAAGTAGACATCACGGGCTATTTACCTAAGGTTGTTTTGACACTTTCTACTTAGCCATTTCACCGCCAACCTCTGCTAAATATTGGAGTAAAATTGTGTTCTTTTTGGTTTTTGGCACACAAACTTATAACAGAGAAATTCTCGTGTATATTTTGTAAAGTTGGTGTGTGCTATTCCTGTACAAAGTTTTATTTTGTGTTCAGTTACATCTGCTGAGTAAAATGACACCCCATTGTATGTCTTTTGCACTATTTCGTGAAGTTACAGTGCCATACAGGATACCTGTCCTTTTCAGTATTCACAGTAGAATTTTGAGAGATGGATTTAATGAGCCTTAGCTTCCATTTGGGGTATTATAACAGTTTGACTGTTCAAAAAAACCCCATAAAGGCCTACCATTTGTAAAAGTAGACACTCCAGGGTATCTCATAAGGTGCATATTGTGCCTTAACATACCCCCATTTTTTCACCAATATATGCCAAAGTATGTGGTAAAAAAATAATTTTGTGCATTTTTTACATACGGATTGCATTTTTGCTGGGCGTTTTGTATATTTCATATGTGCCACTAAGTTCAAACCTCCCAAATTATACTCAGCTAAGTCTTTTGAGTAAAAATACACCCCCAATGAATGTCTTTGGCACTATTTTGTGAAGCTACAGTGCCATATAGGAGACCAAGCCATATCCGTTTTTACCAAACTTTGAATTTTGACGCTGGGCCTATGTGCAATTTCCAAGCATCTTCGCAGGTTTTAAATTCAAACTACCCCACAAAGGCCTACCATTTCTTAAAGTAGACACCCCAGGGTGTTTCAAAAGGTATAGTTTGAACCTTAGCGTGGGATCATTTTTCCGCTAGCTTGTACCAGATGTAGTGGTAATAAGCATTTTTTCTGCCTTTTTGACATACAAAGTGAGTTTGCGCAGCATATTTTGCAAACCTTATGTGTGCTATGACTGTATAATACTTCATATGTTGCTCAGCTATGTCGGCTGAGTACAGCAATACCCCCGTATGTACCTTTGCCAGGTATATGTGAATGTTGAAGGGGCGCATTTGAGACGCAGCCATTCAGTTTTTTTCTAACTTTGAAGTTTTACGCTGTGTCCATGTTCCATTTTGGAGTAGTTTAGACGGTTGGTTATTGAAACTTCCCCACAAACACATACTATTTATTAAAGAATACACCCTGGGGTAATTCAAAAGGCATATTTTGAACCTTGGCGTGGGATAATTTTTTCTCTAGTTTGTTCCAGGTGTAGTGGTAATGAGCATTTTTAAAATGTATTTTTTTACTTTTTATAACTTTTTTACTTTTAAAAACTAGTTTTTAAACTTTTGTTTTGCTTATAAATTTTTTTAAACTTTCCTAAACTTTCTTAAAACTTTTTTACAGATTTAACATTTTTCTAAGCTTTTTTTTTTACCGTTAACCCCTTAACTAGCAGTACGCAGCACTAACAGTAAATTCCCCATTTTCCCATAACTCCCACCCACCCCAGCTAGCAAAATATATAGTTATAAAATATTTAAATTAATTAATTAAATAAATTGAACCCCTGAGGGTTAAAAAAATAAATAAAAGTTAATCCTCAGGGGTTAAAAAAAATTAGATCACAGTATAATACTGTGATCTCTATTTGATCGCTGTAGGCAGTGATCGACTGGCAGGGAAGGGGTTAATTTTTATTTGGACTAGGTAAAGTGTGTTTTTTTTGTTTTTTTTACTTAAATGTTATTAAAACATTTTTTTAAGCTTAATTTTTAACTTTTTAAAGTTTCTTTTAAAACTTTTTTAACGTTAACCCCTAGTTAGCCTAACGCCAAATCCCCCAATTCCCCACTAACTTCCACCTACCCCAGCTAGCTAAATATATAATTAAAAAATAATTTAATTAATTAATTTAACCCCTGAGGGTTAAAAAAAAAAAATCAGATCATAGTAAAATGTAATCCCTGCCAATTGATCACTGTAGTCAGTGATCAATTGGCAGGGAAGGGGTTAATTTTTTATTAAAATGGGTAAGGGGGGGGGGGACTTTAAATAAACTTTATTTTTTTAACAGCAGGGGGCAGGATCAGCACTGATCCGGCTCCCTGCACTTCACACAGAACCCGGAAGTGCAGGGAGCCGGTAGGTGAGTATACAGAGCACATGTGCTCGCTCTGACTTGCGGTCAGAGCGAGCACATGTGCTGGGCAGCCTGACCGGGTGCTCCCGGTATGCCTCTAATGCAGAGGCATACCGGGAGCACCATTAACCCCGCGATCGCCGCGATCCGGGGTTAATTTTACCGCGTGACGGACGAGGTCCGTCACCCGTCGTTAAGGGTCTCCCCTCTGTGACGGACCTCGTCCGTCACCTGTCCTGAAGGGGTTAAGGGCTTCTAATATACGCAGTTAGTTCCAGCAATGGGCAGTCTGTGCTGGTGAAGTACACAATAAGCTTCAACAGTGGAAAGCTTGTAGCTCCCCAAAACGGATGTGTCCAATCCCTGCCTCCCTATGTTCTGATCCTGGAGATGGTTCCAATTTGATTGGACCGTATAACTGGACAGTGTTAACAGATGGGTCATGGATATCGGCAAGTATTTCAGACAAGGTTTTTTGTTTTTGTTTTTTTTTTTTTTATTTTATTATAGTGGGCTGGTGCTAACAATTAGAGTATATTATATGCCATAACAATTCTCTATTCCTTTTCCTCTCTCCAGTAGGCAGTTAAAATTAACTCTGAATGTGCAGGCTTTCAAGCAAAAACACTGCACATACATAATCCTACCACCATGACCACTTCAAATAACTAATACTTTGTGTAACCATTTAACTTTCAGCTCTAGAGTATCACTTCAGTTCGTAAATGAACAATCTTTAAACATGGCTGGTTCATGCTGGAATGTATACGATGGCAGAAGCTTCAAATTTGAAAGTATAGTTTCACCTTACAAGCGTACATTCGTACAAGCATTGATAAGTTCAACACTTATCACTATTTTATGTAAACAAGCTTTCAGATGTAAGCATTAACCCATTCAGGATTGAGTCAATAGTGCACATTCTGAACAAAACATAGACAAAAACTGGAATTTGCGCTATATGTCTGTTCAACCGTAATTCACCGCTGTCACATTAAGTGCACCCACACTTATTATATATAATTTTGTTCAGGAGAAACAGGGCTTTAATTTATCATTAACTATTCATATATGGAACATAATTTATGAATAAAATGTGAGAAAATAAGATTTAAAAAAAAAAAATTTTGTTTCCGTCTGACATTTTAGCTGTGAATGCCATAATACTGTTAGGTTTTACCGCAAAAAAAATGCCCATATTTGTAATCAGCGATGTCTCGCGAGTACAACAGTACCCCCCATTAACAGGTTTTATGGGGTTTTGGAAAGTTACAGGGTCAAATATATGTTCCATTTTCAAATTGAAATTTGCCACATTAGTAATGTTACCTTTGATACGGTGTGGTAGCCCAGGAATGAGAATTACCCCCATAACTGCATACCATTTAAAAAAAGTAGACAAACGAAGGTATTGAAAGTGGGGTATGTTTAGTCTATTTTAGTAGCCACTTAGTCACAAACACTGGCCAAAGTTAGCGTTCGTATTTGTTTTTGTATGAAAAGCAAAAAACTAATATTTGGCCAGTGTTTGTGACTAGGTGGCTACTAAGAAAGACTGGATATACCCCTCTTGCAATACCTTGGGTTGTCTACTTTTGCACACGGTATGCCATCATGGGGGTAATTCTCATTCCTGGGCTACCATACGCTCTCAAAGGCAACATAACCAATCTGTCAAATTTCAATGTAAAAAAAATGAAATGCAAGCCTTATATGTGACTCTCTAACTTTCCAAAACATATTACAACAATAATAGTCCATAAAAGTGCCGTTCGTTTGTAAAAAAAAAATAAAATAAAAAAAAGCGAAAGTCACTTTTACTTAAAATATCATCATTGTAATACAATTTACCAGTTTGAAACGCTAATATTTGAGTTCAGCGAAGTCTCCTGAGTAAAACAGTACCCCCTATGTACAGGTTTTATTGTGTCTTGGAGAGTTACAGGGTCAAATATTGCTTGCGAATTAAATTCTCTGGACTTTCTCCCTGTGTTGTCAGGCATGTCAATCAAATTTTAATTAACCAAATCACATTATGTTAAAAGATTACTTAAATATACATGTAGAATTTTAAAATATATACATTTATAGGTACTTAAATTCTATGTGTATACTAATGTAATCTTTTGTCATTATATGTGTGTATATATACATTTTAAATTTTGTTTCAATTATTATTGTAATTATATATGTAATTCGAAGTGTATTTTAATACTAATATATACTTATATTAAAATACACTGTGTTACGTGTGTGTGTGTGTGTGTGTGTGTATGATATTTTTTTTAATTTTTTTTCATTTCCCACCAGCAGGGGGACTGTCTGATATTTTAGACAGTCCCCCTGCTGGCAGATCCACAGCCAACTATAGAGGGCCATGTGATCGCTCTTCGAGAGCAATCACATGTCCCCCTGGGGGCCTCATTTGCCGGGGGAGGGCTGCCTGGGAAGCCCTCCAGAAGAGGATCGCGGCGGAGGTGAGTAAATCCTGGCTCCTGGGGCAGAAAGCCGTTACGGTGTTTTGTCGCCGCAACGGCTTTAAAGCCCAATTAAAGCGAGACGGTGTTAAGGGGTTAACTAATGCCAACTGTGCAAGTGAATCTTTGTATGTGCTTTCTGTGATGTGATATAATGCAAAGCACACGTTCTGATGTTTGGGATTGCAGCGACTATATTCTGGTTATCTGCTGCTAGCAGAGAAAATAAAAAAAATCTGATTGAACGCCAAAAGTAAAGCGATGCCACTAATTTGAAACCTTGCATATTGCTTTATAAATGGTTTAATGCTTTTATTTTTGCCTGATTTTAAAAAAAATAACACTTTCTCATGCTTATCTCTTGCAGATCTAAACACGGAAGCTAAATTCCATACTAATTTGCAAGAATCGTTCTACTTTTTATTTGAATTTTGAGTGACGCCTTCCCACTGAGAGAATACCTCTTCTGCCCAATAAAGATTTTTCACTTTTAACCTATTTATATTCTTTCAGTAGAGGTTGATAATGCTGGATATTTTGGATCATCTGAACATTTATATGAATAAAAGTTATTTTTGCAATGTGGAGTTCCTGTAGGAAGCTCTGCCCTCAATCAAAAGTAATGCTGCTTTCCTCCTGTATTACTGCATTCATTTCTACACCTACTGCACACGACTGGCTTCAACTATGTAATTGTCATGATTGGTTATCAGTTGAGCAATATTGACAAAAGAAATCTACTGCATGTTCTTGAATAAAGACAAAGCGGTTTTATATTTTGGTCAGTGTTTAAAATTTAACTGCTCATCTGCATTTCTTGTCGTCTTTGTAATGTGACTAATTGTATAACAGTCACAATTTATCCTGTTTTTAACAGTGCTTTGGAGTTAGAAGCATGTTTGGGTTGTTGGAGTCGGTAAAAATGTTCTGACAGACTAAATGTACTGTATATTGCGGCGTAATAGTCCACCCCAGAAATGAGGTGTAATATAGGTCTATGCCAATTTTCCACTTTTGTGGCTAGGCTTGCAGACTTGTATTCTTACGATTTTTAGCTTGGACTTGGCAGCAAAAGCTTACAAATAGTCCTGTTTATTGTAATTATTTTACTGATTGCTGTTAGGATATTCTACAATCATTAAAATAGAGTTTAAACTTAAACAAACCTGTGTACATTTACTAGTTTTATTTTTGCAGAATGATGGCACATGTGTGTCTCTCCAGCCAGTCAGCTGTGTTTACATATGAATGAAATTACCGCTTGCGGTAATATAATTTTGCTACGTCTTGTGAAACTTGAGTAGAAGAGTAAAAACAACTAAGTGTAATCCATTGAGTGATAGCAAGGACACCAGAAATTCTATTTCTTTAGAAAAAAGATTTTGGAAATGATAAACGCATTGGGCCATGGCCATATTTTTGTATCAGCAGTGTACCAACAACTTTATGTTCAGTGTATTAGTTGACAAGTCTTTGTGAGAGACTTTTTTTACGCTTTAAATGTCAACTTATATGCCGGCATTTAGGATGTATTGTAATACGGTAATTTAATCATTCTGTATATAATATAAGGAGTCAGAGGATTTGTACCAACTCCCCAACCCTGGTTTTGGATATGTAACTTAATTTTCAAGTGAGCCTATTACACTGTACAGTGACTACACAGGTTGAAATCTAGTTGAGATCTGAAGACTTAATATGCCTTTTATTGAAATGTTCGTTTTTTTTTTTTTTTTCATTTAAAAGACAACATTGTAGATTGTCAGAATGCATAATGTTTTATCTTGCAAAAATTTATACATATTTTTACTATACAGGAAGTGCTTTTCATTGCACTGGAGGGGTGGGGTGAGTATAAACAAATATGTACCTACAAAGACTAAATTTAATACATTTTACAGTAGAGTACTCCTGGTGGTTAATGGTTGCATTCATTTTTCATTACATAAACTCAGTTTTCCATGTGCAAAACATGATTCATTATCAGTGGCAAATGTTAGTTTGCCCTGTAAATTCCGATAATGCTAACCTCTCAAAAAGTGAACTCTTGTCCCGTAATAGAATTGTCAAATGTATCTTTAATTGGCTCCCAACATTTTGTTAATCTTTACAGGTGCCTTGGGTGCTTACAGTAATTTAGACCATAACCTGTAAGTATTATAATTTACATTGGTGCCAGTGTGCACATACATAGTCTTTGCTGAATTAAACTCTATATCCGGTGTAGCCAGCCTTTGGTACTCTTGGTGTTGTGAACTATATCTCCCCTGATGCTTTGTCAACATTTTGGCATTTAGTGCTAAAGGTTGCCGGCCCCGTGCTCTGTTAAGCTTATCTATCCTCTAGATACAATTTATTGAAGTGGGGGATAGGAAAACCGGAGACTTATGTTTTAGTAACATGCCACCATTTAATTATTTATGAATGTACAGGGGAAGCTATTCAGTTAAAAAAAAAATTTTTATTTTTTTTTCTCAGTAGTTTGTCTTCTGTAAAGTATCTTAACTAGTCTGCCTGTGCCATATGAGCTGTCCAAAATGTAAGAAGCGTGAATAAACTGCGAGTGTTCACAATATTGTCTCTTTAAGCAGTGATACAGTCAAATATGAACTTAATTTGGATGTTGAACACATTCAATAAACCATTTACCAGCCTTTTATGTTCCATGAAACTGAATATTCATTCCTGATTTAAGTTCATTGACTGCTTCAGGTCATTAGCTTAAAATTAATATTTCATTCCACTTCTGGAATGACCACTTGCTAAAACATCCAGTGTTAAGCTAGCACACTTGAATAGAACAGGGCAAGTAAGGCTGCACTGCAACATGTGGTCTAAAATGAGGATTGGAGAAGAGCATATTGGAAGCTGTACTTATGCATAGGTCGCTTTTTGATAAAGCAGGAGAAAAAGCTTTGTGTGCAAATTGACATCTTATTGACATTTATTATAAATCAGGAAACGTGTATTACTCTTGTCAGTCACGTTTGAATATGCGGTGAAACCTCTTGTTATATTTCGTTTATCCTACAGTACTTCCTTTGCAAATTTGCAACCTCTGGGAGGAGTGTGTAAGATTAATTTCATTTCCATATAATGAAAACATGCATAGCCTGTCTTTCTAACTGCATAATGTATAGTATGTGAATTAAAATTGTGTACAGGTATTGGTGATACCTGAAGCCTTGTGTTTCTAATACTATCCTACCTAAATAATTAAAACCTACAATGGGAGTATGCCCTAAATCTTGTGAATGGAACATCATCAAAGTGCAAAATAAAGATTTGTGCATATATTTTTAGTTTGTTTTTTAAAAGAGCTAATAAAACAAATTAATCCATACGAATGTTTGTATGTCTTGTGAACAGATGGGGTCAATTGCAAATTTGAATTTAAAGGGCCACTTAATTCCCCTAGACCACTTCAGCTCAGTGAAGATGTAGCAATGATTAAACATGCCTCTAGTGAAAACCCTTCCCTTTAGACATTGAGTGTCACATGAACATGTTGATTGTATTCAATTGCAGTTCATACAGAAGTGTTTGATTTAATACTTCCCTACAAGAAGCATTTGATTGGATGCTCATAACTTAAATGGAATGGACATTCATCGAGGAAGCAACACTTCCAGAATTATGTTGCGGGAGGAGGCTTGGGTGACACCTCAGTGTGTCTTGGTGCTGGGGGAAAAGGAGTGCATGCTTGTATTCCAAACGCTACAGTGTTCCTTTTTAATCAGTGAATGTTGGTAAAACTTTCAGTTAAGTGACTTACTATTTACCTTGGAAATTCCATCAGATTTACATTCTTTGCAGTTAAGGTTTGACTTACTATCAAGTTTAATTAGAAAAGAGATGTGGCAAGTGAAATGTGTGCGTGTATATGAAATTTCAAGTCCTGTGCTACTAGCACTGCAAGTCTTTTGAGATGGCATATTCACCAGGGTGAACTTTTGAACCGTTTTATAATTTTATTTTAAATGTATTAGTAACACTACTCAGTATTCTTTTTACCAGGGTGATTAGAAGCTGTAAATGGTACTGGAATTTCTACCTTCCTTGGCTAGGACACCTACTAAAAGATACAATAAAATATTAAGCGTTTCTCTATAAAATAAGATATAAAATGAAAACAACTCTACGTTTTCTGCTTTATCTAAGCAGAATAGGTAGGTTATTCATGTTTTTCACCACTGGTTTTTGAAGGCTCCACCTGCTCTGTGGCCTTTGCCGTCATCCAAGTTAGATGGAGCACCACTCCTGTCGGTGCTCAGACAGATTTGTTTGTCTGGGAGAATGTAAATTAAACATGTTTGGAAGTTTTGTCTAGGTTATTTTAAAGGGAGTGTCTAAGCACCAACATCACTTGGTCTTAATGAAGTGATATGAGGCGTAGATACTGCACCCTTGCATATGGAACAGCATTGTTTACATTTTGCAGTTTCCACATGTTACTGCTGGGCTGGAATGTGGTTAAAGTATTAATGTATAAGATGGTTACTCCTGTAATTATGTTTACTACCTATAGCTTTAATCAATTTCTGACCCTACAATCTCCATAGATCAGGGATTCTCAACCCAGTCCTCAAGGACCCCCCTACCAGTCCAGGATTTAAGGATTACCCTCTTGTGTCTAAAGCGTTTGTCTCCCTCTCTTTCCCTTCTGTAGTTTATTAATGAAAAGATTAAAAACACTCACATAAGTGCAGTGATATTAGGCATATATAGGATGGTCAGTATGTACGGGATAAAGTGGATCCTCCCTCCGGCCTTCTCAGAGATGGTGATAGAAGAGGTTGCTGAAAAGTCTTTGTGTGCGTTCCACGTAGTCCTGAACCTGCGTTTCACGATACCGTGATAGTGCGACAGATGCCGTAAAGCCTTACGCATTTCGTGAACAGTCGGTTCACTTCAGAGGATGACATTTGGGATCTCTATACATATGAATAGCTGTTGTATAATATGTGGTTAAGAAAAGTTAACTCTTAATAGTCCAAGAGTGCTAAATGAAAAGTGGTTATAAAAAGTTCTGATGAAAGTCCATGTGTAAGTTCATATCCTTGTATAGCAATGATTGATTAAGCATACAAAATAAATACAGTTCAGGCAAAGGTAGCAATTAATAAATACAGTAATGAATGCAAAAGTGCAACATTGATAGTTCTATTCGGTGCTATTTAAAAATTCTGTTTTCAGTTGTAATATATCCTGTATGTTCTGTTGCATGAATCTGTGCTAGATGTAAGACAGTTTATTGGTGGATATGAGTGGCGCTTTATACTAGATGCTGTAAGGAAATACTGTCTTTCCCAAGGCTCATGTCTCGGTACATGTTCCAAAAATTGGACCTAAACTTTTCAGAATACTTATAAACCCTAATACCCCCATTCTTTATCTCCTCCCCTCTGGCATTCCTCGAGTTGTAGCTGTATTTATAACCATAACTGAAAGAGAAAATTGCTAGTGGGAGCAACTGTTTAACATCCAGGTACTGGCTGGCCTATGTTATGTCAAGTCTTAAAACAATCAAGCTGAATTCATGACTTGGGAACCTAATTGCCAAGTGGTGATAAGAGGCTCTACCTATGATTTGGCCACAAGTCACTAGGTTTGCCAACAAGCATTGTGGTGAGGTTTTGGCCTCTCCGTGACAAAAAGATTCATGATAAGTTGGCCATCACAGGCACTAATTATGATTTGGTATAGAAAGAAGAAAGGAGGAAACCGCGCCTTACATAAATTATATATACATACACTTGATGTCTCTTGATGGTTGTAAGTATATCCTCAAAAAAAGAACACAAAAAGAGAATATACAATAGTGTAGTATGTTTAACAATATTGGAAAAGATAATAAAGCAGAGGTATTTTAAACTCACATATGGTAGAGCTATTATAGGAGCTCTACCGTAATTGGCCTGGACGGTACAATCCCCGTCTTAGGATAAAAGGTCCAACGTCTTGGCACTCCAATGGTATGGTGGTATGAATCAAAATGGAAAAAGAAGGGAAACTCCAATAGTGTAATAGTTCCAGCTCCAAATATGAATAAATAAATAAAAGTAATATACTCACATTTGCTAGAGCAGACAACTTGCTCTAGTATATAAGGCTTACAGTGGTATAATCCCCACTGAAGGATATGCAGGTCAGGAAGTGGATGATGCAAATGAAATATAATAGAATATAACGTAAAAGATATATTTAATAGTATTACAAATAAAATATAATATAATGCTATAAAAGATAACACTTAACGCGTTTCGCCAATGGCTTCATCAGAAGTGTAAAAAACATACATCCAAAACTTCCTATAAATACATAACTTACATGAGTAAAATGATTGTTACTGTTTTTCAGGTGTACCTCGGCAAAAAAACGCGCATAGGCGAAAGCCGGAAGTAGTGCGGCGTCCACGTGGGTGTTGGCAAGCCAGCGTGGAACGCACGCATCATAAACAGAAGCGGCGCGGCCAGCGTGGGCGCACATGTCAGGACCGGAAGCGGCGCGGCGTAGGCGTGTATGTCTTCATTCACTATGAAGCGCACGCGTCGCGCCGGAAGTGACGCGGCGCCCACGTGGGTGAAAAAATGTAAATCATGCGTTCCAACGTGGAACGCATAACTGCCGCAACCGCAATCTATCACATAAAAAGAATTAAATACATAAAAAAGATAGAATGATACATAAACAAAACATATAGGTAAGATAGCAAATGGGCTTTACTTCCTTGATTTATAAGAGAGAAGTAGAAAGTTCATAAAAATTCTTTTCGCCAGGTAGTTCAAACATCTAGTGTTGCAGAATAGTGTCCCATCAATTAGAGATTAAAGATGTGTATGGAGGCAACAAGATATTATTTCTCTTTTTTTCTCCTTTTCTTATTCTTTTCTTCCCCTCCCTCTTCTTTGATGTAGGCATAAAGATGTGTAGGGTACATAGCATCCTTTTTGTGGAGGCAATCTTGAGCTTCCAATAATACATACAATGTCCATCATTCATTATTATAAGTCCAATTTTTTGTGAAAAGGATGTATAAAAAATAAATAAGATAAATAAATGGATGGTCCTATTATGTACATGTCTTAACAAATGTACATATATAGGTAACACAGAAATATAGGGATAGACACATATAAATAAGAGTATAAATATAAAATCAAATTTAAAACATATATATATATATATATATATATATATGAAAAATATGGAATAGATATAAAAATGAATACAGTAAAACAATAAAACAATTAAGAAATGGGGTGAATAAGAAAAAAATAGGATGATATGAGATGGAGAAAAAAAAAAAAAAAACTATTCTGCAACACTAGATGTTTGAACTACCTGGCGAAAAGAATTTTTATGAACTTTCTACTTCTCTCTTATAAATCAAGGAAGTAAAGTCCATTTGCTATCTTACCTATATGTTTTGTTTATGTATCATTCTATCTTTTTTATGTATTTAATTCTTTTTATGTGATAGATTGCGGTTGCGGCAGTTATGCGTTCCACGTTGGAACGCATGATTTACATTTTTTCACCCACGTGGGCGCCGCGTCACTTCCGGCGCGACGCGTGCGCTTCATAGTGAATGAAGACATACACGCCTACGCCGCGCCGCTTCCGGTCCTGACATGTGCGCCCACGCTGGCCGCGCCGCTTCTGTTTATGATGCGTGCGTTCCACGCTGGCTTGCCAACACCCACGTGGACGCCGCACTACTTGTATATTCTCTTTTTGTGTTCTTTTTTTGAGGATATACTTACAACCATCAAGAGACATCAAGTGTATGTATATATAATTTATGTAAGGCGCGGTTTCCTCCTTTCTTCTTTCTATACTGTATTTTTTTACAAGGCTGGGAATCCTTGTATTGGTTACTGCTGCCTATTTAATTGTTTGTTTTGGAGTGAGCACCCGACACACCTTTCCTTTTTCTATTGCTATATCACTTCCTAGCCGAGGTGCTCCACAAAATTCAATAATTCAACATGACTTTATTTGAATATCGAGATAATTACAATATCGACTTAAATGACATCTTTAATGACATCGATGACTTAGATATATTGGATAACAACGAACCATTGATTACATTCGATGACCCAAAAGAATTACTAAAAGAACTAGAATTTTCTTTAATTAAAGAAATGAAGCTAAGATGGGAAATTGCGACTCTTAGCAAATATGTTGAAGAGAAAATCACCCCAAGAGGTCTCAGACTTTTCAAAATGCCGACATCAGATACAGACAACAGATGTTTCATGGAAGAGTGGTATAACCACTTAGAGTTCTGTACTTTCGGCCTTATGGGGAGCCTGATTAAGGTTAAAAGTGAAAGACTTCTTAATTTAGACAAAAAGATCAACAGTCTAAGAGACCAATTAATCCCGTTTGCTGACACAGAAGAATACTTTAACCAAACACAAAATATCAAAAAAACAGTAGAAAAAACAGAAACAGATATTAAAAGAATTAAAAAAAATAAATACAATAGAGACAAGCATGATTATGCTAATAACCAAATACGTACTTATAACACAAAAAAAGCACCACGACAGCAAAGATGGAAAAACACTAATCACCCACACAACTTTCACACAGAAAATAATATTTTTAGACCAAAACGCTTACAAAGCAGAGATGATAATGAAAGATCTGAACACACATATAGAAGAAATTATTGGAATAGATCACCACGTAAATTCACTGACAGATTCACTACCACTAATAGACTAAAATCCTACAGCAACACTAATGAAGAGTTT